CCTCCCCGGTTAGCCATGGTTTTTAGTTGGCTTGTTTCTTGATGGTTTTGACCACTGTCACATCATCTATACACTTATTGATGTAGTCGATGACAGACAGTATTCCTTGAGGTCAGTGATGTTGTTATATGTTGCAGCCTTTCTAAAGATTTCCCACTGGGTGGTCGCAAAACAGTCAGTGCAGAATTTGCTTCTGGTGACCAAATTCTAACTTCTCTTGTCTTTGGCTTGTCCTACTGCACTCTGGGTTTGTAAGCTGGTGTGATAATAACGGCCAAGTGGTCAGAGTTACCAACATGGGGGAGGACAGTAGCTCTGTAAGAATGCTTGATGTTTGTATACACTTTGTCTAGTTTATTCTCTCCCCTGGTTGCAATGTTCACATGTTGGTAGAATTTGTGCAGAACAGATGTAAGACTCGCCTGGTTGAAATCTCCTGCTGTTACGAAGAAGGCATCAGGATGATCCTTCTGCTGCTCACTGATGTTGTTGTAGAGCTCTGTCACGGCCGCCTTCACATTAGCATTCGGTGGTACGTAGACAGCTATAATAATAACTTCCGTCAGCAGTCAGTGTAGAATGACCGGCATTTCACAGTTAAGGCCTCTAGATGCAGCGAGCAGTGAGTAGACACCACCATGGCATCCTGGCGCCACGAGTCATTTGTGTAAACAACTAGCCCGCCGCATCTCAGTAGATGTTTCTCGTAGCGAGAGATATGGTTATGAGTATTCCGAGAGAATTGTAATTCTAAAAGACACTGCCGCTCATACACACACTTCTCTTTCACACAGTTTACATTCACACTACTAGTACTAATACTGCCAATATTACACAATTGCATTGTTTCGTTGGAAGGAGAAGCTGCTGCAGCTTCAGTCGAGCCGCCATGTTTGAGCCTTGAGTTTTAAGTCTAGTTTAGGTTCTTCTATGTCTCCTTAGTTATAAGCCTTTTCTTGTCCTCTATGTAGTATGTCATGTATTTCTTGTCTGCATGTTACATGTTGTCTAGCTTGT